CCGCCGCATTCGTATCTACACACGTACGTAAACTTAAAATGCAAAACCCGCCGTATTGTGCAGTCTATGACCACTCAGTCGTTATGATATTTTTGTGTGATGTTTCAATTTGATATATGACATAAAAATTTATTCACATGGCACAAAAAACTCGCAAGTTTATGTTTTAAAATACTCTTCAGTTACTGATGGCGTTACACTTTAAAAATAATTTTCATAAAATTTTTTCTCAACTCAATGCAATTACCAATGCAAGTGTGAAGAAAATTAAGCGTCGTCATGGCCAAACTGTTTGCATGCCGAGCAAACTGCATCGCTTCATGTTCATTACATTTCTAGCAGATCTAACGTTTTCAGTGCTTAAAAAGAAAATCGCCGAAGGCAAGGATGCCGATTGAACATTATACGTTTAACAAAAACTAATCTCGTAAAACGATAGACTTCTTTAGTAACCCAACATTAAACTCAAAATTTGAGGGCAAGAATACAAAAGCCCACTAAGAGCGTAATCTTTTTAAACGAAAGGACTAAAAAGATACATTAACACTATTTATTAAGGCTTTGCTGATGAAACTTTTCTAATAAAGGCTTTGATCGAAAAATTTTCGGCATCGGTCGAAAGCTTCTTTTTGTATAGAAACATTAATACTGGGATCAAAACATCTGAAATATTTCGAACGTATTCACAAATAAGGACAGGTTTTCTTTATAAAGCAGTCTAAATGCAGAGTTCTTTAACTTTGCTTTACACACAAAACAGAGGAAATTGTATTGAGATTCGATAATAAATTGACAGCAAATAATGAAAGATTTGTTTAAGTAAATAAACAAATGTGCGTCGTGATCCCGCTGACTTGAAAACAGGAAATGGCTGGTAAGGAAGTCAGAAGATTACAACAAAGCGAATATATTCGTTTTTTTTTTTTCAATTTTTCTCCAGGCACTGTACGATGACCTATTGAATATAGGTGCAAACCTTTATCATCATGTCATTTGTAGTTTATGAGCAGATATATTGCTTGCTTTTAGAAGCAACGATCGTAAAACTGTTAATTAAGGTCGTAAGTTCCAATTTCACTCTGCCAGTCTCAACAATTAGCATAGTCTACGAGGGCGATCACCACAAAGAAATTGCCTGACCGTCTAGTATCTGTCTTCCCCTAGATGAATTTATAGAAAATGCTTCAAAGTGCGGTTTCTTCACACGACGTCTGTATTATTAAAAAGAACTCTAATATTTTCCAATCGCGATATATTTAACAAATGGCTTTGAGGTCCCTAAATGGTTAATTCATTGCAAAGGTGCAAAGCTAAGCGAAGTTAAGGAAGTTAAGTTTTGAAAGAAACTGGTTGTCAGATTTCTGATGCGGGTTTTTGTTCTCTCAAATTCGGTCAACGAAGTCCGCCATAGAAATTGATAAGGAACACTGCAAAAACATCATGGCGTAACAAATACGTTTAACTTATAAATTCTGTCTGTTGTGTTGCATTGTACAGATTTATAGCGGAATCTCAGCACAATAAACAGTGTATTTAAAATTGATGTTTCGATTAATCATATTATGAAGTCTTCTGTGATTTTGGGTTTTGTTAAATTTGTTAAATTCCTTCCTCGGAATCGCGAAAAATGTTGCAGGACGCATGCTTCAAATCCCATGTGTAAAAAGCTTATGAAGCATTCAAAGCGACCTAAGAACCAGTAGTTACTATGACTGCATCTTCCAATGAGCAATCAAAAGGCCTATAAAATGACTCTACTAACAGCAAAAAAGAGCAAACATATGGATTAAGTCCATTTCATTAGCATTCTGACAGATAGTTTCAACATGAGAAACCAAATCGGACGAAATCGATCTATTTTTTTGACTACTATGCAAATATATTTAGTCAAAAAGACAGATCGTCATGATTATTGTGTTGTAATCGCGCTCTTAGATTTCTTTCTGTTTCTGAAACTAGAATTATCACTTCGTAGATTTTACGTCAAGCGAAAGCGTTCAAGAATATACGCTCCAGGAAGCAAAACTCGTAAACTTCCGATCCGATCAAGTCCAGGCGGAGACTTGTTGTAAAAAAAAACCTTTCTCAAAAAGCCATAAGGAACAATATATGTTCCTATTTTGCTGTTGTCAAGTTAAAGTTCTTCGTATATTCAAAATAAATTTAGTCACGAGAACGCTTCAAACCCGCAAGCTAATTTGAACTATAGTCAAACCGAAAAGATAAAAACTCATTTAATGTCTTCAACCATTTTTGTGTTTTAAATGACAAACGCCCTCAAAGGCGGAAAAAAGTAAAATATTTTCAATTTACATCAGACGGACAATAAGACAACAGAAATGAAAATAGAAAAAATATCTCTCGAAAACGTAACAAACAATTTTATAGAGCAACTTTTCATCTACAGAGTGGATAGTAGAAATTGATTGCAAATATAAACGAGTACCAGCACAATGTAACTTCTTAAAAAAAAAAAGTAAATACAAATATTGAGCGATTGAAAACAGAAACCGGCAAGAACGCTAACGACAACAGCTACAACATCATCAGACTCAAATGACAGCCGCACTACGTTTTTTTTTTCAGCTTTTTTTCGTGCCATTCGTTCAGCAAACAAATAGAAACAATGATAGTTTTAAGCTCAATGCAAGTCAATGTAATGTATGATGTGTGATAAGAATAGAAAACAAGACTTTTTTTTAATGAAGCAGCTATTTATAGCTTATATATTTCCCACAGATTTTCTATAAATAATATAACGGGAAACTCGCATGAAAATCGCATTTAAAAAGGCAAAAAATACGCCGCCAGCTATCTTTAAGCCGCGTAACGTGAAAGTTATGTCAAATGTTGAACGCAAGTATTGAGAATGGATCATTGCATTCTTAAACATTATTAAACATTCTTAAAGATTTTAAATAAATAAAACTCTGGCAAATCCAGACATGACACCTTCTGATTACCACCTGTTCAGACCAGTGCAGCATGGCGTGGCTAGCACAGGTGTTCACCAAGTTAAAGAAGTGGTAAAATGGATCAGGTGGATCGCTGCTAAACCAATATAACGTATATAAGGTCTTGGATACGATGAGCAAGAAACGAGTGCAATTTAATTACCCCAAACATACCGAGTCTTTTTCGAACTCAAAATGAATTATTAACAGAAAAGTACAGATTATTAACAGAGAAGTTCAGATTATTAACGGAGAAGTTCTGATTATTCACAAACAACACTGCACATCCATGCATTTGACGAAAAACTTCTAGACTTTTAATAGGAAACTATGAACAGATGAATAATGCTGTTCTTCTTCGTCACAAAAGGGTTAACGCTTGACGAAGGGTTAACGCTTGACGTTTCAACATGTAAAGAACAAAAAATCAACTAACGGTTTTTGAAGCCGATACCTGAATATACATGACCGGAACAATGCTTACCACACTTGTCCACATCTAAAAAGAGATGGAAGGACAGATACCCCTAGCTCGATCGAGTATTTGATACCGATTAAAAATATATACAGCTCAAAGGTTCTCTCAGGCTACCTTCCGGCTGCTACGCACTTTGCGACAAAAACATGAAGTTTAAAATAGTGGCCGATTTTTCAGTTTTGTATGGGTAATATAATGTCACCCATAGACTAGATGTGGAAATTCTGGTACTGTGTGCGCGTAGTTTGACCGATTCAGCCCATATTCAATATCAAGTTTGCGTGCAAAAACTTTTCCGGGCAGGAAAATGCTTAGACATTATATAGACGGATGTAAGGACTTAAATCAATTCAGAATTTAGTGCTGATCAAGAATGCACCTATTTTATGGGACCGTTCTGGGAATGTCTGCAGTTACCAAAAAATCATCATTTTTGTAAAGTTCCAATCAAAAATTTTTAATTTAGAGTCTGGGAATTTTCTAAGAACCCTAACTCTAATAGCGAAAATTACTTCAATACTCATTACCAAGAGTTCGTCCACCATTATCAACAACCCATATACAGATGCATTGAAGCGATTTCCACTTCAAGCAATTACTTGAACAATATTGCCAAATGAGAATGTGGAAGCAACTGATTTCTATTGGCTGCTATTTGCTGTTAATTTAATAGTGGAAACATTTTGCTAATCTCATCCATAGTGCTGTATTATCTACGAAAATCCAGTGGGGAGTATATTTACTTTATTAAAACGTTGCAGCATTCACAAGGAAGATGGAAATGTTAGGCACACTTTGAAGTACATATGTTCTTTATTAATATTCATTAGATCGATCTGGGCATGCCTATATGTCCGTCTGATGTTTATAAAGAGGCGTATAATATGCAAGAGGATTTTGCTTTGTAAGATCAAGTATTGAGCTAACGCACAGAAGAAATTTAAAAGGAAACAGCAACTATTAAACATGTTGGGCAATTTGGGCTGTAATGACATCTTGCGGTCTATGTTAGAGAGTTACCCTATATCCTCAGCATCCATCATTCGACTGCTGAGAAACACTTCAAACATATCCGAATCCAAATGTGTTATTTTAAATGTGCGAGAACTTTCCCGCCCATTTAATAACACTAATAAAACTAACACACTTAGGTATAAAAATATCAGCGTTGAATTTTCAGATTGAATGAACTTGTAAGGTTCTTTCTTGAAAATTTTTTTATAGTTTTAATGGCGCCTTACATATTCGGCAAAGACAAACGATTGACTTCACATTTCAAGTGTAGCTTCATAAACACTTCACTTTAACAGATTTTCTAGCCGATATTTGACAGATACCTTCGGATTCCAAAGAATTTTTACTGAAACTAACGATATTTCCTTCAAAAATATAAATGTTTAGTTGAAGAGTGTCCGCATGAAGCTACGGTCGAAAATTGAAGTCTATCGGCTAAAAATTGTGGTACATAAAATAAATAAACAAATTCCAAATTTGACATACATTTTGCATACGTACGGCAGTTATACGGCAAAGTCAATACATAGACTGACTAATTTTCATTTTTTTAGTATTCGCTAATGCTCTACGCGATGTGCGTGTTCAAGTTCCAGCAGCTGTACGAAGAGGAGAAAAGGCTATATTGAAATGCCTTTACGACTTAGAAGGCGATAATCTGTACTCGGTTAAATGGTACAAAGGAAGACGAGAATTCTATAGTTATACACCTAAGGAAACGCCAGCAATGAAAGTTTTTCAATTTTCTGGTGTTAAAGTCGAGGTAAGTAGCGATTAAAAAAATGAATAAAAGTGTCAAAAAATAAATTAAACCAAATTTAAAGCAAATAAAAGAAGGAAATGGTTTAGGCAGGTCTTCTCGTTTTTACTGCTTGCACGCATTAAAATGTTAATATTTTCCTGCCTTTTTATACTCAGTTTTTTGCTTTCTTTTTGTAAATAATTCTTTTATTACCTCCTTTCTTATTGGAATCTCTTCTTTTTTTACTTTATTCTGGCCGAGGATTATTAAAAATTGTTTAATGCTTACATTTCCATATTTTTTTTTTGTCGTATGTTTTCCTTTGGTATATGCATTAAAATTGAATTTGTAATAGAGTTGAGTTTGTTTTAAATTAGCCAACCGTCTTCTTTATGTTTTCTTTCTTCATGGATTAAGCGAAACGAAATAGGGAAGAGACAAGAGACGTTAAAATTAATTTCTATAAACCATGAAAGTTTAATGAATTTATTGCTTAGCACACAAAGAATAGAAGAAAAGCGACAGGAGATACATGTTTATGAATATGGTCACGGAATGAGTACAGAAATAATTTCAAGATAGATAAAATGAATAAAGGATAAATCTTGGCGTACGTATAAAGGATTGAATGATTGTGGGAGTTATTAATCAGTTATATACGTAGTTTTCTTTGCAAATTTATACAGTATAATGTGAGCAAGTTACATGTAGAATTAACTAATACTTTCGCATTACAGGTTCAGCTATAGTCAAGAAAAGTAATTTCATGATATGCTTCAACATATTGAGAAAAAGAAACCTGCGTATCTGCACTATATTAAGTCCGTGCACAATTTCGTAGATCAATATCGAAAATAATCAGTCTAAGTTCTTCTTCAGCTCATGTAAGGGGCAGCTTACAAAATACGGCAGATTGAATAATGGAAGCCCAAGAAACTATTTGCTTCTTGTGTAATTGAATAGCCTTCCAATTCTTTAGCAAATTCCGTACATAGCAAGAGAACTGGATGACGACAAACAATACTTATATTACAAGGGCAAGATAATGCACAGGGCTTATGTAGGATTTTCTTTAGCCTCGGCGTTATGGGCCGCACCTTACGCCGTCGTTTGATTTGTATGAGCTGAGAGAGTGTGTAAGGAGAAGTTGACGGAAGATGGAGGTTTTCAGAAACCTCGCAGATAGTATCTTTTCTATCACTATAAGAACTTCTTTGAAATTTGCAAATAATGGCAGACTAAACACTTAGTTGATTTAATAGACTTTTTTTCGCCAAATGCTTTAAATTTGAAGCTTGTTTTAATTTGGTTGCAAACGCTCAATTTTTGCTGTTTTGATATACATATACGTTACAAAGGAATTAAACCTTGAATGCCTTTTTTCAAATATGCTTGAAAAATTTAGTTTACAATTAGCATAACATTTCAGTGCTTTTTAGCGTTACTATGTAACGTTTACTATGCAAAAAACTACGATTTCATCATATAAAAAGATGCCAAAGCTAATAATGATAAAACGTAATAGTAATAAAGTCGCTTTGATTTGCTACTCTGCTTTAGTGACAAATGAAAGCTTTGTTGGACAGCTGTGGAAGTTCTGAGACTGTTAAATCGATGTATTTCCGCTAGTTTGCATTGTGTATACATGTTTTTCTTTTTTTTTTTTTTTTTGAAATTGGTATAAATGTAAACATATGTTTATATGCAAATTAATTTGTTCACGTATAAGCAAAGAAGTATTAAAATTAATCACTGAATGTTTTCATGTACAATCTAACCATCTGTATATTTTCATGCGAAAACATTTGATACATTCCCCGAAAGTATACTCATTGTGAGTTTAGGAAGAAATATTTTAATATCCACATTATTTAGCGCATTTTTAAGAAAAACCACGTTTACACAAACGCTTAGTGTGCATCGAAGGTCCACAAAAGCATATATTATTGACCATCGTAAGATTCCAGGTCAATTCAGCCATGTCTGGCTTTTTGCCCATCCGTACATGCGCCTGTCCATCTACTCGTTTTATTCTTTTTCTGGTTAATGACTAAAAATCTGTCAGATTTAAAGATGGTCATGAATGCCATGCCCAAAATTATCAAAATTTTCAGAAGATGTTGGATTAAATCTAGTTGCACACATTTTGAATGGTCTAAAACTGCAGAAAAAAAATGAACGCAATCTTCTAATATCTTTAGAGATCAAGAGATAAGAGTAAAACATATTTGTTAATTCATATCTTCAATTAACAAAGGACGTGGGATCTACACCCGCATAAGTCGGAATTGAAAAGAAAACAATGAAAGTATCTCAAAAAGACAAAGTTGACAATTTTTGTTTTTTATCATTATTGTTATCGTAAGTATAGAGCCATTGTCCAGTGTACATAGCTACAAGATATGTAATTATCACGTATGCGAGATCAAATGATTTTGTAGAGTTAGAGTAATAATCTTCACGAGGCTGTGTAGTCCGTGAGTTTAACATTTTAAAGAGAGTGTATAACACTTAAAGCCTCTCCATGTTATAAAATGATTAAACGGAAGAAACTTCAATGCTATAGTTAACGACCGACGTGAGAGCAATAAGTATAAAGTTAAATATAACTTAAAAAAGCAACGCCGATTCAGCAGAAATATTGTCAACATGGAGACGAAAGTTGCATAGACTTTTCTATGCACTTATATTAAAATGACAAACGCGCATTAATCTGCAATATGATGATATTAACTCTTGCAAAATACTGTTTAAGTTTCGTTCTAAGGCGAATGCAGCTTACTTTCATGCCCTTCTTAGAGGGGTAAGTTAGACTATTTTTTACGGATGTTAAAACTTATAAAAAACAAATTATTATTTGGTTGAGATAATCATCATATACGGAAAAGAAAAAAGCAATATAACTTTAAACATATCGATAGATAAGGTGAGGAAGATCAAACTTATCCAATTTTTTTTTAGATTCAATATACGTCGTGTTCTGGCTTCTGTTTTTTCGTATAGACGAAATAAGTTCACGAATTAAGGATCAAAGATTCCGGGAATTCTTTAAATAACAAAAATGAAGAACGAAAACTGCAACTTGATATTAGTACCAATTTCAGATGTGGGGAATACTTTTTCATTACTTTGCTCGCAAATATTCATAAATTTGAACACTTTTAATCCATAACATTCGATATGCAGCAACTTCATACGAAATATTTACGCTACCCAAAAGAAGGAAAAAGAAAAAAGAAGGTCCAGTGATACGGACTGTATCTTAGAAAAGCGGATTTTATAACATTACTATTGAAATGCGATGTTCCAAATTACACGTCCATACAATTCCTTCCTCGTTTCCAGCCGGTAAGAAACAATACTTAAAAGAAAGGAAAATTATAGCGCACTTTCTTTTCAAAAATGAAACAATGGGTTGCTAGTGTTCAACTCTCCTGTACTTATTCCCGACAATATTTAATTGCATCTGTTTCGAAGTTCGATCATTTAATTATTCTCTCAAGTTACCAAATTCGAAGTTAGCTCATTTAGTTACTCTCTCAAGTTACCAAATTCGAAGTTGAACTACATTCAAACGAGTTGAGTCATCATACGTACAGTTTGCAGCATTTGTTCTCTGACAACAACGTTGAGTAAAACATATGGAATACATTTTGAGCAACATTTGATAGGAATTTTGTAACGATAAGAATTCTCTGGTCAGTTGATCGTTACATCTCAGAATCAATGGGCATTTGCATAAAGGCAAGAACCATAGTAGTGTTGCGCTGTTTGAGGACGTAGTAAAATACTAAAACAATGAGGCATTTGTGGGTTCTTACCATAGTGAAAGAGGTCTAGGTTCATTAATATGCACGTTTTTAAGGGAAGATCGTTTGAGTAGTGGATAACTAATACTCTTCCACAATGCACGAATACTACGAACCTGTGCATATCCGCAGCTAAAATCCGAGGTTGTGCACGGAAATTCCTTTACACTAGATTTACGGATTACGCGTTTTCTCCCCGTTTTAATTAGATTGAAATGAATTTTTTTGGTTCGTTGTTGCATAACTTGCGAGTCCCTGAAAATATTTTCGAAAACCTTTGATCCAGACGTTCATTAAAATCAATGTCATGTGGAATCCAAAAATGATAGCGGTAGGGTAAATATGTTCACTGTGAACTTTATAAGGTTAAAAAAAAATTTAGGGTATTAGAAGTCAACAGACAAAATAATTTACAATGCTACATCTAAGCAGCGTAGCGAATCTCGGCAATATTCTCTGAATATACCTGCAAACAAAGGAAACAAAATTCATCGCGGCTTTATGCAAAAAAACGACAACAACTAAAACTCGGTTATGAACATTAATATAAGATCCATTTTTCTGTTTTTGATATTCACTCACAACCGTTCACAACAACCGTCATTTATTCTCTATACCTATGAACATATGTTGTTACAAATTTAACAAATCTAATAATATATTTTCTAATCTTCTATTTAAGTAAAGCAACACCAAAGATGTTGGCTATGATTAAAGTCAATTTAAGTCAAACATATTATATTACGAAATACAGCAAAATAGTAGTTAAACTCAAAATAAAATTTTTACTTTCATCATTTCCTTTTCACCTCAAATATATCCACATCTAATTCCCAGTTAAAAAAAATGCATTTTTCTTTTAAGAAATTTATCTACACATATGCAAATTTTCTTCCAAAAGAGAAAGAATATATTTATGTATTCAGATATGTACATGCATATATATATAGTTTATATATGTATATATATATATATTGTACATATTTATACATATATGTACACATACGTATAAAACAAGAAAGAGTACTAAGCCATGAATAACGTAAACCGGCATACACGCTATATATTATGGTTTCTTAAGATATAACCAAACACATGTCCTCACATTTGCATGTTTACGTAAAATGTGGTTAGCATACGAGCGCATGCAAGTAAGCAGGCGAGTAAGAATTTCACACTTTACATTCGAAAGGTAAGCCTGAAGCATGCATTAAGCATTTGAATGTGTTAGCAACTAGTAAAAGTAGAATATCTACTTAGGCTTATGCTAGATATAAAAAACGTAGGCTTCCCAAGCGTGCACACACGTCGCTACATATATGTAAGCGTTTTAAACTGATGATGTCACTCATATTATTTTCTTTTAAAAACCCTTTGCTCTTTTTGCCTGTAGAAGAAGAAGGTAAGATATTTCTGAACAGTTAACATAATCTATTTAAATAAGTAAGTGCATAAGGATGTGTGAGGATATGACAACAAGACTTTTTTAAATTTTCTCTGTGTGCTTGTCTTGATGAGTAAGCTTAACCAGCATTAAATCGAGCTCGAATAAAAATGGTTTTCTTTATCTTGTAAACATTTACAAAGTTCTTTTAGCATATATATAAAGTAAAAAAAATTAAATTAGAAGTTATTTTATACGTTCAAGTCTTTACTTGAGAGAAATCAAATATAATTTGAAAAAAAAGTCTTGTAAAAATAGCGTCAAGAAAGTAGTTTTGATTTTTGGTTTTTTCTTAATCATTCATTTTCTTATCATGTTAATCACTTTAAACATATGTATGCATGTACACATATTTTTACACCCTACAATAAATGGTATATTAAGTTTAAGCAAATGTTACGCTTGAAAAGACTTGCTTTTATTATAAAAGGTTTAGATCCTTTTTTCTGAAACAATTAAGGCGCCTCTCGCCGCTCATTTTTCTGATGACTGTCCGTTGAGGTTTTTGTTAGCGAAACTTGATGCGATGTGCCGCGATCTATGCGATCTATAATATTAGTCCACAAAATTGATAAACAATAGTGTCGGACGAGATAAGTTTTTGAGCGCCCTTACCTATAAATGGTCTTATAAAGAACTTTTATATAATAAGAAAGTCTACCCTTTAGTATACTACGACAGAAGTAGGTCCAGAATAGTGATTGAGCATTTAACTCACTATGCCAAATCTGCACAGTACCGGTTTTTCGGGTCAATTCCATATAAGAGTTCTGAGAAAGAAAGAGGCGGCTGGTTGCCCGTTCTAATTTGGGAAGCTTCAACTATTATTGACTCTTCTTCACCTCAGTCAAAGCTAATGGAAAGTGTAGGAATGGAAATTTTCTGAAATTCATTGCAAGAGCAAATTTTTATTTTTTTCCTGGAAGTACCACTAAGGGGATGTCTGATATTTGTATAACACGGTGACGGTCGGGAAGTAGTGAGGAAAGAGAAAGAGAAAGGGAATCGGCCGCACCTTAGTAGATGTGTGCACAATCGGTAAGTGTTCTGCCTTTATCGACTGAATTCGGTTCCTCATAAGGGCGAAATAGAATAAGTCTGCGTGTATTTTCCCAGAAATATCGATCACAATACACTCAAATAAGGTTTAAGATTAAGTTACTAAAAACAAATAGAATCCTTCGATATTTCTAGCGGTCTAAACAGCCGGCACCAAAGCTAGGTTTCCCCGAGAGCTGATTTATGGGAAATATCCTTTCTGATTTCACTCTGTGCCTTTTTACAATTTGCTTTCCAAATGAGCCTTCCTATTCGATTTTCTCTCTCGATACAATGCTCACAAATAAGCTGTAATATATCCAAGTCAGGTTATATCTATCATAGTTATAATCGTATAAGTTCCGTTTCACATCAAATAGATCTTTAAGATCGTTACCGTCTCTTTAATAATCTAAAGGGAATATGGACAGACTAGATCGGCTTGCTTTCAAGCACTATAGCAAGATAAATCAATTTTATTCTTTACCTAATGCTTTAATTGATGGAAATGACGCTTTTTACTTTTTTTAACTTTCTAGTATTATTTATACGTATTTATGCATATGTATGCATTCAGGACCAAGTGATTCGCCGTGATGAGTGCTCATCGATTTTATCTAATAAGCAATTCAGTTTCGACCTGCCACAACGTAGTTAAGACGCCGCAAACCCGTAAGAAACGCGAGTTCTTATGTGTTGGTAAAGCCTTTGGCACCTTATGACCCAGTTTGTCGTTATCGTTGAGTTACTCCACTTTAACATCACAGAATAATTGATAAAGATTATTAAAAGTAAATACGTGATCTTCTTATTGACATTCTTTTTCAAACTATTTTACCATATGCATGTGTTGTTTAGAGCTCATATTCTCTCATAATAATAAACTACAAAAGGCAAAAGGCGGTACTAAGAGTGCCTATGGACTTTCTCAGACGCTTTGCAGCGACGAGGCGTTGCGTTGTCCAAACTACATCGTTACATTTCGATTTTATAAATTCGCTTAATCCTTACGTTGGTAGCTAACGTGACGCAACGTGACTTGTCGTCGTTGATGCCCTTTTTTATTTTAGATTTCTTTATATTATTCGTCTTAGCACTTTGTTCACGATTTAATTATTTCCGTTTTCAGGTTTAGTTTTTTATTTTTATCTTAACTTTATATTATTAAGATCAGGCTATTTAATTGTAGACGTCTACTAGTTATCATTCATATTTACGATTTTACGATTATATTAGTATAGTCACTCGATCTTTTATAAAATATAAAAAAGTAAATACTAACAAAACATAAAAATAAATAAATAAATGAATAATAATATATTATATACACATACAAAAATAAGTAAATGAATGAATAACAATATATTATATACACATACATTAACACAACACAATTAACAGAAAATTTATATTCATTTTATTCAAACGAGGGGGTGGTAGATAGGTGATCAAAATTGAATTGAACTATTTTCGTAATTTTTTTTTTTTTTAATTCAGTTTTTTTATTTTTTCTGCGTTTATAGCGTTCTTCCTCCAACGAAAGCCAACTAGTGTTAGATACCGTTAATGCTGCTACAACGGGGAAATATAGTTGTGAAGTCTCTGCGGATGCTCCCTCATTTCATACATTAATTTCGGCTGGTGATTTGGAAGTTGTTGGTGAGTTAAAAATCATAAAAAACGTTTTCAAAAAAAGAAAAACGAAAAAAAAAGGAAAAAGTAAAATACTTCTATCAAACATTGTACAAAGTGATATTTATGTTTATACTCTTTAAACTCCCAAACCGCAATGACACAATGGCCATTAGCAAGCCACCATAAAAAGCTGCAGAGAGGCTTTGCATTAAAAGCGAGGGATATATTAATTCTTTTCCTTTATCTTTTATGTTCTCTTCCGTATCCTCTTTAGTACATCAGTTCTTACTGAGAATTTCTAATATTATCTAAATAACGTCTTCAGGTATTTTTAATGAAATTGCGCATAGCCTAAGTGCAGGTGTAAAAAGACATTTAGATGACCAAGGCGCCTTAAAAGCTGACACCGGTTTTATAGCTTATACGTTTTATGTGCGTGCTATTAGAGTTCTTAAATATATTTTATAATATTTTTTATCTCAAGTTTGTGCAAAAGAGAATAATAACCGTTTGAAAATGCAAAAAGTAAATTTTCAAATATTTTAAATTTTCTTTCAAGTCTCATTGAAATCATATTTTGTCTTTGTTTGCAATAATTGTTTGAGATAATAACAAAAAGAAACCCAATTGCAACTGCGAAATATACAAACTTCCCGAGAAAACTATGTATATGAAAAATTATGACAAATATTAAAAAAATATTTTAAGGAATTCGTATTGGTTAAGCCACCTATTTAATCCTCACAATTTGATTTAAAATGTAGAAATGTTTTCTGGTAAAATTATATCCAAAAACTGCCAAAAGCAAAAATCTAGGCTGATTACACAGTACTTTAAGTTTTCGAATACTTAGGAAAATCTATGTAGCTATCTTTCTTTTGATTGTCTTTGGATAACCAAAACAATTGGATATTGATAACAATTGCGCTTTATTTTTTCAATTTTCAATGTATACACAGAATAATGGCATGTGACTTACAGATCAGGTGGTATAATATGCTGTAAAGTATTTTCGTTTATTTAAATAACTCACAGTCTATCCATGAATGATGCCATTTGTTTTTATTTTGTGCAAATTTTTTAAAAGTTCATGAGAATATTTATCTTGCAATAAATATGGGAGCTTTTAATGGGAAGGGTTTCAGCATTTCAATGTTAGACTTGCTGACGGTGTTGTATAGGTGAACACAATAAGACCTCGGATAGGCTTGGCGATAATTTCGTATAATATTTTACATTTTAAGATAAATGTTGATTTTGACGGCAAATCGTTTGCTACCTGCTAGACTTGTGATGGACGCACTTTTTTTCTATGCCATTCACCCTAGAATCGTTTTCTGAATCAGCCTAAGCTTGTCCGTCCGTCTTTTTGCCTTGTGTTCAGCCTACAGCACGCAATTTTTTATAACGGTTCTCAACCTACCGTTACGTACCCTACATTACCCTGCAGTTATTCCCTACATCAACCTACAGTTATGCCTTATTTTGAAAAGTTGTTGTATGGGGAAAAAGCATTTTTGGGACAAAAAAGCGTTTGTAGCAAATTTGATGAAAATTTGTGAAAAATTGTACTGGACAGACGGGAAGACAAGCTTAGATTGATTCAGATAAAGGGTGAATCTATCTCAACTCTTTCTTCTGGATATTGTCTGCGAAAAATTTAATATAATTTTGAATCTCTCGTGGTATAAGGTACACAAACACTACTCTGCTTATATTCGGAGCCATATGAAATAAACAGGAAACAAAAAACGTCTTGTATGATAACCCATGTGAGAAAAAAAAAATTGCATAAAGTATATTAAAAATATGTTTATACAGAGATACTATGCTAAATAAAAATAAATCCAACTTTTTCTAATAATAAAAAATTTTCTTTATTGAAATCTTCTTCAACGTGAAAGAAACGATGAAATAAAAACTAGTAATATTTGCTACGTAATCTTTGGTCTTTTATATGTGCTCCATAGCGCATATTCACATCGTTTGAAGATTGAAAACTTTGTCAAAAACATATGGATGCTTTATATATATGTATGTATATATATATCAGTCCGCAGAATGATTGAGTTGCGCTGCTTATTTTTCTACTTATTAAGCAATATCTGCAAGTTCCTTGCAAGAGCATGCGCATGCATTTTTAAATATTATCCTATGTATCGTACATGTATATAAATTTCATATACAACTTTCCGTGAACACAGTGGTTAACTGTTCCGCTCGGCAATGCTTTTTTGAACATGTCATTACTCAGCTTTGCACGAATTCTATTTATTTACCCCCATTTACCATCTATTCCTACGCATAATAATTAGGATCATAATAATTGTGTTCGTACCAAAGTAACCCGTATCGGCCTCTTGGTTTAATGCTATTCTACGTGAAGAACGCAGTTCTTAAATGTTTTCATCTCAGTATTGCTGTTGTCTGTATTTAAGCTGTTTCTTATTTTATTCGTTTATCGTTATCTTACTACGATTACTCTGTTATATTTGCATCTTTATGCACCTCTTAAAAACTCTATAAAGAAGTTCACAGGCTTCTTCTTTTATGCTTTCCTTTGCATTATAAAAGCAACCAACAGGTAAGACTTAGCACTTTTCTCTTACTAGAGATCTAAATACGTAATTTTCAGGTAAAAATAAAAAATTCAAGAAAGAATAAATTGCTCTTTGCCGATTAAATATTCTGTTAATATCCATTAAATATATTTTGCTTTCAGTAGTACCCGGCAAAGAGCCCATCATAACAGGTATTAAGTCACGTTACCACGTCGGCGATATAATACGCGGCAATTGTACATCAGCTCATTCCAGACCGGCTGCAAACATAACATGGACAATAAATGGTTATGAGGTAAGTTTTGAAGAAAGCCTTCACAGTTTTGAGATGTTATTGTTTAAAAATGTGCGCACATCAGTGTGTTTTTTAAAAAATTACCCAGCATCTGCTCATAATATCATGTGTAACTAGAAAATGTTATTAATGTTTACTAACTTGAATTGGGCAAAAGTGAAACTTTAAGTATATCTCAAGAAAAAACAGGAGTTTGGGTCGAATCTTTCAATACCACCGCCACATTTTATTATAAGATATAATGCGAACACGTTCGCCTTGTATCGCTCATGTACCGACTAACGTAGATATTTCAATTTCGAAGTACTTTTTAAGTAAACGGCCCAGTTAAACAGCAATTTTGTTTCTCGGAAAGTGTACACAAGCCTATGGGTGGGACTATGCCGTTTTTTGAAATTAAGGGGCGTATGTAATTAATATTATTTGTTATAAAGGTTAAAAATTGGATCTATGTGTAGGCTTTTTATACCTAACACTCTTTGAATAACATCAGTATATATGCCTTTTAGAAAATGAATGTCGACCACTGTCGAACACTATTGAAAATGATACTAATCGGACGACATTTCCGAGCACTTCCCATATAACGCCTACAGCGTTTTTGTTTTTAGTTCTTTTAGACAAAATATTCGGATCTTAATCTCGATTTCAACGAACGATTCCACTTTTTACTCCGGTCAAGAATAAATAAAGCTATAGTCGATGTAAATTTCCTTTCCTTTATAAACGTTTGAAAACCTAATGCGTTGGAAATATATCCAATAAAAAAAACAATTTAAAAAAATGACTGCAAAAGATCTAAAGTAGGAAGTTCTATTTGCCTTACGGCACTTGTCAAATATGCGCTGCCTTCCGCCAAATAGAATCGATGGAAGCAATTATTCTACTGATGGCAACTATTAAAGCTTTCGAAAAGTCCGTCGTTGATTAAGAACAAAGATACGCGGGTCGTATAGAAATCAAACCAAGTCTTCCCATCGAATAAAGCGGGCATCTGGTTTAGTATGTGAAAGTAAGTAAGAAACTTATATTTTAGCCCGATATTTACATCTCAAAAAAATGCAGCCGTTACTGTATTTTAAAGCTTTAATTTTATTGTTAAGCTTGATGTGTAGCAGTTGCCAACTTTTAATTGTTGAAATTAATTTCTAACACTTAAAAAATGCCATTCACAAAACCAGGGATACAGAAAAACAAATTAAAAGAGAGAATTAGATCGATCTACAATATGAGATCGCAAATACTGAACTCAAGTACACAGGTATATAGTAAGTATAACCTTTTCATGGGTTAAGTATAAAAACTACCAACAATAATACCTCAACAGCAACATCACTTGAGGCTTATACAGAAAAAGAAGTAAAAAAAGAACATTTTGAAAAGAAAGACACTTCAAAAGACATGGTAAAAGTTTTTTTTTTTTGCGAAAAATGAAAATTCAGCAAGTATTATAAAGTAAATAAAAAGAATGGAGAAGAAGGAAAAAAGTTTTTAAAAAAGCCAGAGACTATTGCATACCCGTCTAGTTTGAAAGTTAAATGTTATTACAGCCTTACATGTTCTTTTCGCTCTCGCCCGAAAGCTATATAAACGTCAAAGAATGGATACATTTTGTTTGTAATATTTTTTTCACGAGCGTATACTATTGTCAGCGAAATAAAAAATAGCAATAACAAGAACAATGTCTTGGTAACCTCCCACCCCCAAACCAAACTAATAGTTTCATTGTCATTTATAAAGGTGTCAAATTAAAAGTCACATTACTTCCATTACCGGCTACCACACGAGCACACGTTGTATACGCAAGGATTATGTGCGGGGCTTCCTTTTATATGTTGGCATGTTGTAACCGCAAAATGTGTATTTTTATACCTTAGCATATGTTGTTTGTATTGCATGAAAAACACACGCCAGGCAGAGTACATGAGAGACCATGAGAAAGTTTTCAATCTGTATGGAACTTGCATTTACTTGAATTTCCGGTCTTTACCACTTGCTGTTCATACTTAGCGTGGTAACGGTAGCCTAGCGATCGTAACTGGTATTATTATTACGACAGTGTTGGTGTGAAAGTTTATAGGTTAATGCAATATGCCGAAACAAATATATATATATATATATATATATATATATATATATATATATATATATAAATAATTTCTTTTCCTTACAAGGCTTAACGAAGCTTTGTATTGTATGCTTGTTCTCCTTCTACGTTCATTTACTTTTTCCTTGAACATTTGTAAGTAAAAAAATTTCTCGATACACAATTATGCTTTTGTTTGTGTGAGTATTAAGAGGTTATGGTTGGTTTTATGCGACAATTGTAAAGTTTTGTTTTTAACATAGAGTTTTCTCTTCTCCGTCCCTTTGTTATTTTGTTGTTCACTAATATCTGGTACAACAAATTTTCAAAAAATTCAACAGAAAAGTATTCTCTCTTCTTATTTTCTCTAAATACTGATTCTGTTATTTACGATTTAGAACTTTTCTCTTGGTTTGGGAAGAGGAAATTTCCCAGATGGTTTTATTTCCTAAAAAGGTTTATTTATGTTTTTTCTGATTTCATATGCATTTCTAGAATAATTGATGACTTTTGTGCTTCAAGATTTAAATTACTTTTCAAAATGAAAAAAATCCAGTCTTTTTTTAATTTAATAAGAAATGTAATTAAAACTTTTTTATATCGATCAGTCAAGTTATAAGATCATTTAAGCAATCAAGACTAGTAATCAAGCTTGGGGAAGCAAAATTAATAATTGCATTTTAACGGGCTGGACTTATTAGGTGTCGTAAATGTCGTAGTGGTCGAGGTAATTTGATTAGCAAGCGCATAGCTTTCGCTTTATACTGGACAGGCAAAATAAAGACTTTATTATTTAAAATTAATTTGAAGATTTTAGGTTGATCGGTCAACAGATCATACATAACGTAGGCGTCTTACTAAATTAGAGACTAATTACAAAAAAGTATTTATATGGTTTTAAAGGAACTTATTTTCAGAAACTAAAGTTTCAGTTCCATAACCTCTAATCGTCTGTGGGCATACACACTCGACAAACATCTTTCTCTGAATATCACGATTCAAGCTCTCTTGTCCTAAACAAATCCTCCGCTTATAAGCCTTATTAAAAGAAGCCATGAACAACACATTTCATTTCGTATTTCTGCTAACCCTTTTAATTTTTGGAATTCTCACAAATTTTTGTTGATCTTTCCACCAATCTGCTAATAAGGCGACCACCAAAGCCGATTCATTGAAATGACTTTGTGATCTTACACTTATAAAAATTAGAGAAGACAAACAACCAACCAGTTTTTCGTGTCTGCCTTCGTTGAAGCCTCATTTACAATAGTTTTTTGAAACGTGCCCAAATGACATTAAGACTACTTTTAATCTAAAGAGCAGGCGTAAACTTAACAGGATAGCCTAAATTAAGAGTTTACTCTTAGCAGAACGCCTTATTTTGAAATGTGGCTAAACGAGAAAAATTTGCAGTTTCTAAAATTTTTCAACAAAATTCACTGTGTAACAGCTACAAATAAAATTTATGGAAAAAATTTTGATCGGATGTTCGAATTTTTGTATTTCCCAGAAAAAGTAAGTCTCTATATGCCCAAATGATGCAATTTTTAGTAACGTACTTTATGGTGAAAAATGGTCCATAGTAATCATTTGCCATCAAAATTAATTGCAGCAAATTCGGAAACGTACGTCTTCTTTTGGAGGCCATTTAATATAAGGAAAGACAGGCAACAAACTCTGCTTTACGTTGACTTAATGCATCATCTCTTATCACGAAAATAAATGAGAATTAGCATCAGGCGAAATGGTTTTGCGCGTTTGCTGGTCGGTGCTTTCCGACGATAATGTTTTTACTTTCTGATACCCAACACCTATTGGGTTACAAGGGCATATTCAGTATGCACGGATGTGTACAATAGCTGGAAGAACTTGGGATAGACCTATCTACTATTAAATTAATCAATTCTGGAAGCATTTCCAAACTTGTGTGTCTTGTATTCTTGTGTCCAACCTACAGCTCGTAATTTTTGAGACATTTCGATGAAATTCGGTACACCCAACGATTTGGGACCGCTTTTTCTTCCCAGGTTATTCCTTATTTTAAAAATGAAAAGCCGTATAAAGTGGTTTAAGTTATGTAATAGTATGTAATAGCTCTCTGTAATACTTTTAATTGTTTTTGAACCTAAGAGTGGACGATATAGCTATATATTCTTAATTAGTGAGGGACTCTGAGTGGACATAGTGGGTGCATCTGATCATAATTGAAGAATAACTATATTGTCGTTCCTTTCAATAAATCCCGTAACACATATACATTTTAATCAGGGACTGCGATTCTGGGTTTAGCTACAGCTGTAGTTTTATTCATTTGTCTTTACTTCGGTTTCTCTCTCTGTTTTGTCCATTTATTCGTTAAACGGCCAACAAATCTTGAAATATTTGGTCTTAACTTTTACAATTGGGGCAATAAATCTGAAATGAGTCTGGCTCGCTCCTAAATGTTCAAAGGAAAAAAATAAACAATTAACCTGAATCGGAAATTCCAAACTTGAAGTAATTAGTAAATATGCACTTAAATTTTATGTGGCACGTTGTTCACTAGAAATATATTTTTGTTAAACGCAGTATACATCGATAAGAGGTACGTATCAGAAAATCTAGGCTAAACCGAATGTAATCTCGTTTTAGTAAACACTCTTAAAATGAAACCTACTAAAATTGTTTTCAGATAGTTCCAAAGTTAAACAGAAAAAAAATTAACTTTATATATATATATCCATAACAAAAGAGAAGAAGGAAACTTTTCGTGTGTTAATTACACTTTCTCACTATATTCTGCTCTTAAAATGAAATATTTAAGCACGGTAACTTTTTCTGCTTTAAGTTTTCTCCTTCCTGTTGTTCTTGTTAATGTACTCAATTACTGTAATTAGTTAACTGACTGCAATGTTTGGAGAAGAAAAACAATGAGAAAGAATAATTGTGTGTACCTATCAAAAAAGACCACAATTACTCATTATTCTTATATACTTATTTCCAGTATTAAATTTTAATTCAGGGTTAAATAGCTTAAAGTGATCAAAAAGACGCCGGACAGTGTTTCCAAGATCGCTTAGTGCATAATGATATAGTTCAAGTAAGTTATTGGTAAATATAGACTGAATGGCAAGTACATGGGCATGGATCAAAAATTTTTATTGTCTCGAATTTTTAGACACGAAAATTGATAGTAGCTCCCCTTATTTAAAGCTACGCGAGTCAGATTTATTCTCCATACCAACGATCACATATACCCAAAACGTAGTAGTGATTATTATTTTTTGGAAAATCAATTTCCGTTAGCTATAGGAAAGAAAAACTGAAGCAACTGAAAAATAAAAACTTGTTTGACAATTAAATGAAGTTTGCTAGATTTGGAGCACGTTAGTTGACGTATTGTTTATTCTGCTGAGCAATTCTTACGAAAATGAATGAATGACGGTATTAGTTGTAGGATGCGTTGTGGGCGGCCTTTCCCGCCTATAAGGTTGATATGTGAGTGACATTGCTTTGCATATTATATGACTTGTGTTACATAAGACTTAAAAGAACACACACATTGCATTCTACATTCGCGGCCCGACGTTGTTACTCAAACATATGTATACGTTTGCCTTCGAAGAAAAAGCATATAAGCAGATTATATTCCGCACGGGTCGAACCTCGCATACCGACCACATTCATCTATAATCTTCTTTTTTATTCATATCGCTGATATTATTAAGAAACAATTAATCGCAATGTTTACCGTTTTCATTTTAGAATTAACTGATTTTTAGGCAGATAATATATCTTCAGTTGAGGAATGTAAAAAATAGTTTTAAATATTCTGTCTTGTTTGCCTTCTGATAAATAAACATAAAACCTCAAAAAAGTGAAAAAAAAGAAAATTTAATCACTTGTAACTTTGTGTGGCTATGGACGATTTTTTCCATTTTTGCAGGTAAAGAGTAGATTATTTCATAAACTAAACGTGGAAAATTTCATCCTTCTAACTTTTAAAACTTCTGAGTGACGTGAAAATAACCAAAAATTTGTGTTCAGAAAAACAAAGTTGCGTTCAGGTTACGCTCCACTGTGGACTTCTTCTCTGACCAATTTGGCCCATTGTCAATACCAACCTGCGTGCAAAAACTTCCAAAGTTTTTGGCAAATTTGAAGTCAATAGCTTCGTTTTTGTGGCCAGAAAAATATTTAAAACAGACATTACACAGACGAACAGACGGACATGATTAAACCTTTATGGGGACTTTAATATTTCCTTCTGGGCGTTGCAAACGTTTGGCCAAATTAACATACCCGTCAAACTTCCGTGATAGGTATAAAAATAACTCACAGATTTTCACAGATGTTCGTTCATTAAAAATTTTTGGAGGTTAGAACACAATTTTTATATATTTGAGCGATAGATAATGTTACAATATATAATATTATCTCTTATTTGTTGCTTTTTTCTGCTTTTAAGACCAATCCATCTTACGTGCGTCAACATAAACCCATTAAGGATTTGCGTGATTTAGAAACTGTAATATCCGGTATACACTTCGTTGTAACGCCACAGCATTTTATACGCGGCAAACTAAAAGTAAGTATATAGTTTCGACAATTTAAGTCTACTAAAAGTTAAAAAATAAAAGGGCTTAAATAAATGAAAATCGTAAAGTAGGCAACCATTAATAAATATATAACATATAATGACAAAATGAAAGAATATAGAGAGTTTTAAAAAAATGTGAACGCAATGCTGCATTTATACCATATATGAATTGCATCATATGGTCACACAAAAGAGAAAACGAAGTAAAACATACTTTAAATTGCTTGACTTGAAAAAAGACCAAAGTTTAAAATCTTCTTTTTCGAAGATTTTCTAGTTAATTGTTTTTGTGGCTTTCTTTTTCATAGTCCGCCTTAAAGTAAAGGAGAGTATCAGAAACTAAGCCAAGAACAGCTGATGTTATTGTATGATTTATTAGATAAGCATATTTCACACTAGTCTTCTCAGTGAGATATTGCAGAAGCGAAATCATGGTAGAAAAACAAAAATTTAAGAGCTATTTTTATTCCTTATTATACACATAAGATACGTTGCACCGCCCATATCCACGATGTTTACTGGAAGTCCACGGAAAAGTCAATCGAAGAAGACCGCCAAGTGGCTCGACCCAATGAAGTAAATTTAATTAATTCCTTTTCGGATGATTATTTCGATTTAGAAGATGAGGACGATAATGAAAATGACGATGTACGAGATCGATCGGCCCATATAACCCACATAAAGGGTAAGTTGTTTAAATTTACAAAAAAAAAAAATTAAAGACATAAACACCGAATTAAAGAAATAAAATCCTAATTTTTACTTGGTATGCTTTATTTACTTAATTAACTTCATATTATGTATATTTTCGCATATTTTTTGAGCATTTCTTTTTATCTTTATTTAAAACTATGCATACATTACTATTTTTATTTCATATTTAGGTGATATGTCTTCTTTAAATGCCAATGGCTCAACGGCCGCACACTTCGCTACATGCTTGCGCCTGTGGCCGCATTTAACAACACTACCATTTCTATGGTACGCTTTGCAAGAAATTCTACAATTGTTGCGACAATTGTTTGGACAACAACAAATAACAAATGCAAAAATAGACAATGGGTTAAATAGAAAAGTAAATAAACACAGCAAACATAACATTCACTACCAGCAACAAAAACAGCAAGTAGAACAACATATAAGTAGAACAACAGCAAAAGCAACAGCAGCCAACAGTCAAGCCACACTTTCGTATTTATTGAAATGGTTGCAAAGAAAACAAAAACATTCACAAGCAAATAACAACAAAAAGGAGAACTGACAGTAAACGTTATGGATTTTAGGCTAATAAAGCAAAAATATAACATCAAAAACAAAAACAACAGCAATACACAACAAAACCAATTGAAATATTATTTAGCAAAGACTAAAAAGAATTCTTTTTTTTAACATTCTTTATGCTTAAGGGCAATAGTAAATTATGCTACAATCCTTAGAGACGAGAGTTCAAGAAGAAAAAAATTAAGAAAAAAAAAAAACAAAAATGTTATATTCATTCAAGTCTTTTCGGATATTCTTTACATCCAGTGCACAGCGAATAAAAGGAATTTCTATGAAATATTATTATAGATGTGAAAAAAGATAACACTGACAACTTTTAGACGAGGGTTGAAATAGAAATTCTTGACACTTTACTCTAGAAATTTATTGTAACAGCTTAGCATTTCACAATGAATTATAAAAGGTGTGCAAACACATGCATATTAATTTATGTATGCAACTATGTATGCACGATATGCTTGTAATTTACAACCATTGCAAACTGACAAAATATAATATTTTGTTTTAAGGAATAAAAGTAGATGAGCAAAACGATATCAATCTCTTTCTCTCTCTCTTTCTCAATCTCTTTCTCTCTCTCTCTCTCTCTCCCGCTCTTTCTCTCTTCACCAGTCTGTGTCTACGAAATGGAAATACATATTCCGCCTGATATCATCTTCTTTTTGCTTCTGCGTTCTCCTCCGAAAATTTGAGTATCAGAATATATGATATGAATATTTAATAAGTTTGTTTGTTAGCAACAAACATAACAATGTTTACATGTATATGCAAAACGAAATATTATTATCTTAGAATTTTTCTTAGTAAAAATAAACAATAAAAATAAGAAAAGAAATTTTTATTTCAACTTTATTTAGAAATGCTTAAGTAAATTACACGAGAATAGCATTAAATTAAAACAATACGTTAGAAACGAGAGCATTTACTTCGACTGAAATCTTTTATTTATGTTTCGAACTACAATGTTTCATCTACTTAAAGAGTTGTTGTTTTTTATTTTGAGTTTTGTAAATTATTAAATATTGTTAGCAAACATTTAAAGTTAAATCGTTTATTAAAGGCGTTGCTTATTTTACGTGGGTTGTAGGTTGAAATATACTACATTAAATTTAATTACATTTAAAGAAAAAAAAAAAAAGAAATGAAAGTAAGTAAAACTAAAATTTAACTAAAGCAAAAATATGAAAATGAAAACAAAAATATAACAAAAATATAATTTAGAAAGTAATCTATAATATAAATAAATAATAAATTATTTTCAAATGAAAGTTCATCAACAAAAATTTTTTTTATAATAAACTACATAAAGCCGCTTAAATTATATTATTTTAGTTTTGCTAATATTTGAAGTTTTTTTTTTCCTATTTCATCTAGTGTACATATAAAAAATAAATATATATATGAATATATATACTTAAGAGAGCTATAGTGTCTTTTCGGATATCGAGAGTTACATATAATCAAATGTATAATGTTCAATTTGAAAGTGAGATAAGTCTATTTAGGTATAAAAAAAACTTTAGTTTTATATAAGCACTAAGTGTAATAAGTTTACATTATCTAGTACCACAAAATACAACATATATGGTGATCAATGCTTACTAATATTTTCAAGTTTATTGAAATGCAAACCTTTCAATATCTCACGGTAACAAAAAGTGCAATTCCCACAATCTCTACGCGGATTGATTTTTAGGTTCGATTTTTTCATAGTCTTATATAAGCGAGTATCTTTATAAAATTTCACATTGTAAGTGGTCGACAACAATGAAACCTATACGTTCGATTGACGTATCACGCAACGTATTATTTTATTATCGGCTTCAAATTGGAGAAATTGATCGGTAATTGGCTAAAAATAAGCGGACGCAAGCACTAATCTTACTTATTTTTACTGAACTTGATAGCAAATATTACATAAAATGTAATCTTGAAGTCAGGAAAAAAACCTGCGTAAATCGATTTCGCTATTCCCGCTGAATAAGAACGCATATACTTAATGGAACCTCGGAAATGTATTTCGTAGGAATTACATCCAGCATTTGGAAAATGATGTAAGAAAAAAGTAAAAAGGAACATTCGGGCTGAACGGAATTTTTAAAAATTTTAAGAAAGCGTGAATGTGCGTTCTTTAGCTTTTTTTCTTATATGACCAGTAATCAACGATGGTCAGAAAGAAGAGGAAAGAAAAAGAGAGAAACTAGTAAAGCTAGTAAACTAGTGGCGGCGGTGAACAGAGGTTTAAGATTGTTTATTGTGTTTAAAAACCATCCACTCATTATCCAAGGAACATAAGATTTCCGGTTAGAAAAATAAGAGAAGTCTCCCTTAGAAAATATGTGCGAGCTTTCCGATATAATGAGGAGGTGCATTCTAAAAAGAATAAATTATTAAATTACCTAGGGAAATCCTTTTAATAAGCGAAAACGATGTGGTTCGATTCCGGCCCATTCTTGAATAGCCTACGCCACTTCGTTTGTTGCGCTTATTCATATAATGACTTTCCAAGAAAAGCCTATTTGTAAGGGTTGGTCGAAAAAGTGTTCCGATCCAAACAGTTTCCAATAGCGCTCGCCCTTGCGCCAACACATATCGCTATATCAAATGTCAGCACAATAAACAAGTCAGACAATATATTCAGTCGTGACCGAATTTTTGTACCCATCACCGTTATGCTAAAAAAAAATGAAAAGAATTACATTTTCATACTCCATAATATGAAGTGGGCGAGGCTGATATTTTATTTTCAAAATTACAGTTTTTGTCTTATCAAGCATTGTAGGCGTGTCGTTGGAAAACTTCTAGTCAATTCAAATTTCAATTCTTTTGCAGATCTATAGGCGATAAATTCATTTTTGCGAACGGGAGAATGTTTACCACAAATGCAGATAGATAGATGGACAGATTAACAGACGGACATGTTTAGGTGCACTCCAAATTTGAAATTCGCCAAGAATTTTAATACTTGTTTCTGCGCTTTATAAAGGTATTGAAAGAAACACCTAATTTTGATACACTATAATATTGTTTAGGCGCGGTCGAAATTATTGCATATTTACATTATATGCATAATTTATGAGTAGTGATCAAAAAACATTTTTTTATTCCTTTTGCAAGAGAGAGGTGTTCTCACTTTACGTTGCATTGTACAGGTGTACTTCGACCGATTTCACCCAGTTTCAATAGCGACCTGCACGCAAGGACTTCTAATGCTGCTGCCAATGTCGAACTCGATAACTTCATTCATTAAACAGACTGTCAGGCGGATAGACGGGCATGCTTATCGATGTAGAATTTGATGCTGATCAAGAATATATATATGTGGGATCTCTGATGCCTCCTTCTGGGTGTTGCAAACATTTTGACAGAAGCGAATTAAAAGCATAAACTTAACGTTAAGTACGTTCCAATATAAGAAAGATTTCATTAAGAAAGAACAATACTTCACTTATGCGGCCTTCAATGAGCGTTCTAGTAATATGTTCCAAGTTCAATTACGTATGATATCGAAGAGACGAAGAAATTTCTGTTGTTAATTTTCACAAAAAGGTTTCACAAAAACAAAAGATAAGTAACTGAACGTTAAATAACTAGTGATTGCAAAACAATATAGGAGAGAATGTTTGTATCGATTACAATAGATTATTCAAAATTTATATAGAATGTTAGTCATCATTTTCACGATATTTTTTTCCTTTTTTTTATATAGTGTATGTAGGATATTTACGATATTAAATGGTTTTTATAATAGAATTACTTGTCAGCCATAATCACTCTATAACTTCCATTTATACGTTAAAAAACTATTAATATTGATGTATTTTATTACATTTTTATCTGTTATTTAATGCCTGTAAATCTCTCTTTCATTTTTCTCAATTAACACTGTGTAACATATTTTTTTAAATTGCATTTTTAATATAATTATAAAACTCAGATTAACAATATTTTCTGCACCCACCAACTAAGGATAGATAAGTCTTATTATTGCGGTTGTAACAACCAGAATTCCGTATCAGATATCCATTAAATATATGTGACGTTAATCAACCTCTAACTTCGAATAGGTTTAGATCGTTCCGTCCGTCCGCTGTTGAAAGTCGCGCTTTTGCAAAATTCGATGCAAAAAAATTAAAACTTCGCACATATGCCCTGAATTGTCGGCTGCAAGTCTTGTATAAAATAAATAATAATAAGACCTGATCTGCTCAAAACTGGTGTAAAACCCTTTACTTCCAATATAGAGCAGATGAAATGTAACAGAGAAATATTGTCCACGGTCACATGAAAGTTCATTACGAGTTAACGAAATTTCAATTTTTATTTACCGGCTTGAGCTGCTGAGGGTGTGCGAAATTCGCCTAGGGATGAATATGTAAACTTCTTATTTGTTTTTACATATTTTCATTTACAATGAGTAAAATATTTACTGTTTCATTATTCAAAAATAAAAAAAAAAGTTAAAAAAAAACATGCCATTTAATTAATTAATGTCCGCATATAAATAAATGGTGTTTACTTATAAAAAAATGTACTTTATCCCATCAACATATACAAAAATTACATATTTTACCTATATAAGTATGTGTAAATAAATATTTCAATTATTGTACTTAAAAATAACCACACACACACACACCATATATGTATGTATATACATACATATACATATATACATATATATATATACATAACATGTATATTTATAAATAAAATTCTACCGTACATCAACCAAAATCTGTATTATTGCGTATCACAAGATAAACACATACGCAGTTGTAAAAATTGTCCCACAAAAAGGTACTTAATAGATATTAATATAATGGAAAATATAAGCAGAAGAAATTAAATAAATGGTAAAAAAAAGCACATTCAAATCAAGTTTCCTTAACACAACTGCTAAATGCTATGAAAAGTTCTTGGTGAGTGCATTATAACAAATTCCTGGACTTAATGAAATATTCCTTTATATTTGTAAGCATAGATTACGCTATCAAAGACGTAGGAAGAGTTGTGTTAAAATTATACAAATTTGTATATATACGATTTTAGAAATATCTATATTTAGCTGCATGTGTACATACAGATATATATATGTATTATGTACGAAAAGAGATCAACACACTCTATGTAATCTCACATCTTTTACAAATTTACATAGTTTTACTATATAAATTTTTACGGTAAAAAACCAAAATTCTTAAACGTCATGGCATATGCACATGACATTACATATAGATGTCTGCAGGTAATGGTCTTCAATCACGTCAAAAATCCATTAATATACTTCAGACTTTTCAACATGACTGACTTTGTATTTAAGGTAAACATTACACAGAACTGTAGCAGTGAACAGAACTGTGCACTGTTTTCTGCAATGAAAGTCATAGTAAAAAGGACAAGTGTATATATACACATATTAATATATAAATATAATAGGTTGGAAGGAATGTTCTGTCGTATTTTAAATAGGCAGGTAATTTTTCTTTTAAATAAAAAAATATGTGGCTAGTGAGTCATTCGGCTTTTTTTTTTTTTGGTTTTTTACCTGTTGTATAATATA